TTCTTGAAATCAGACTTTCAGTTTTGGGTGTTTCTTCATGCTTTCAGATGGGTTTGATTTGTCTTTTTGGAATTAGGCTTCTGCTCTTTGTCATTGTTTTTATTTCTTCATGCTCAACTAACGATCTTTCTTTTTTTAGGTGAATTTCGTTTGTTATGGAATTGGCTTTCATATAGGCAGAACATTTTTGCATGAGCTTTTTTCAAGAAAATTTTTTTCAGCTTTGTCTTGTCGTTCGGTGTATAAATACACTAATTTGTTTTTCCTTTCAGCTAATAGGTATAATTAAACTTTGTCACATTTGTGTTTTATTGTTGTTGGCATCGTATTGGTGATGAATTCTTTGTTGGTGTTATGGTCTTGTGGTTTTACTGTTAACAGGTTTACTGTTGCTAGTAATAATATTATTTTGTTGGTCTGTAGTGGCTATGAACATTGTTTAGTTAAGATTAGGGTTAGAGCGTTAGGATTAAGGTTAGAATTAGGAGTTAGAGTTAGGATATAGGTGGTAGTTAAAAATATTTGCATAATGACATTGTTAGACAGCACAAAAACAGCTGTTACGTAGTACTATTTGTTATATATGAATATATAATTTGATAAATAAAGATTATTTTATAAGTATTTTGATTTTTATAATTATTTTATTAATGATGTAAAAATTATATAATTTGATCACGTGACAGAGGGGTGCAACGCAGTGCAGATGCACTATTTTTAAAACCCAGAAAGTTATATATTAACAAACCATTTTTTGAATATTTTTTAAAAACTATCAGGTTGATTTTAATATTCTTACTATTATTAGATGTATCTTAATGAGCTCTACAACTTTTATTATAGACACAAGAGTGATTTACTTAATAAAAAAAGGTTTAAATATAATATCTTCACATTTAGCTTAAGAGTAAAATTTATTTATAAAATTTGCAGATCTTCTTCAGATGACAGATGGATTGTCTATTAAAGAAAATAACTATTTAATTAAATCTTTTTTTAATTATTATTTAAATTTAGAATTGAAGTATAAATTTAAACAAAGCTTAAAGTTAAATATTAAAACTCTGATTTTAATTAATATAAAGTTTTTGAAAGGTTCTAAATATTTTTATTTAATAGACAAATCTCAAGTCACCTAAACAAATATATTTTTTTTATATATAAATTTTACTATAAGCTTGAATGTACAGCGCTTCTATCTAAAACTTTTTTTACTAAGTAAATCACTCTTAAGCTTGTAATAAAGTTGTAAAGTTCATTAAGATGCATCTAATAATAGTAAAAACATTAAAATTGATCTGGTGATTCTTGAGAAATCTTTAAAAAACTTCTTTCTCATATATAAAATTTCTTTAAAAAAATTAATTTTTTTAAAAAAATTTTATATATGAGAAAGAAGTTTTTTAAAGATTTCTCAAGAATTACCAGATCAATTTTAATGCTTTTACTACTATTACAGTTAGAGAATATACCAAATTAGGAAATCAGCTTCTAGAATGATTTACATATTAAATCTCATATTTGATTGGCTCTTATATATCCTTTTGTCAGCATTCTTTGAAAATTTTTTTATACCCTTAAATTAATACTAAAATTTGTGAGTAAGCACATAAATAGATAGTAGAGAACATGTAGTTTAAATAATTTACAATAATCTATACTGGCTAACTTCATCCAAAAAATAAATAAAACTTGAAAACTTGCAAGATTTCATGCTATTCAAAAGCTAATATATGAAAACTCAAGAACTTTATTACCAATTAAGCAGAAATATGTAGTTCAAAAACCTTATAATTACTCAGCATCTCTTTATTTGCATTGATTTTGTTTATAAGCACTATTTATTACTTGGCTCTTTATAATTAATGCTTTTTAATTTTTATAAATCTAATAATGTCATGGCTGAAGCTAAAAGTAGCTGAAATTAAAAATTTTGGATTAATTTTAATAAGAGTATAAGTAGATTTTGATAAAGGTTGTATTTTTAAATCAAGATTTTTAATTTTTAGCTTTAGTTATTTCTAGCATCAATTATGATATTTTTTATTTGATCTTTTTAAAGTAAGTTTTTAAATTTATAGATTTCGTATTTACTATCAAGATTATATATACCACCGAAATAGGTTTTTAAAAAACCTCTATTTAGTCTCTATTAGAGCAATTTTTAATTTTTTATATGTAATAACAAATCTAATTTGGGTAGTTATGTTTCTTATAATTTTGTCTTTTCAAAAAAAGTATCATCTTTTAAGTAAAATAGGTCAAAAACAATTTCATCTTCAAATTTTAATTTCATACTCTGAAATATAAAATAATTTTGTTGGTATATATAATCAAGATACAAAGATTATTTATTAATTAATATTTTTAAAATAAAATTATTCAGAGGTGTGGTGACTTAGTGAAGTGGTAAAGTTGTCGTACCCCCAAGTAGTAGAGTATAAGTTCAATTTCCACAGAAGGCAAAAAATTAGATTTTAAAAAAATGGATTTGGCAACTATCATTGTAGCTAGGAAAACTCGAGACCCTATAACTGTGGTTATATCAAGATAAAAATTGGAAGGTTTTGAAGCATTTGTATAATAAAGGAGTTACATAAAGGCATGCAAGCCGGTTTAGTCAGTGCAAACCCAAGATAAGTCCTTTGGGATTGCAGAAAGCCACAGGGCCAATACGGTGGTGGGATGCTTACTTGAGAAGTCTCGAATAGAGAGGTAGTATAGATCTTTGACAGTACTATATGAAGATTAATATCTAGAGAACTGGATAAACTAAATAGGACTGAAGTATTCAGCAAGGCACTCCACTAACCAGGCTATCGGAGGAGTAACCGAAGGAAAGAACCTAATTATAGAGACCAGGAGCAGGTTATAGCCCTTCTGGGCTATCTGAATTGGTAGTTTGGGATAGCTGGGAAACCGAAAAAAGTTTGTAGATATACCAGGGTTTGGGTGAACTCTATAAGAATGGTAGTAGATAACTGTAGTAGCTTTGGCTTGCAAGTACTTGTCTTCAGACTTGGTGTAAGTTACCGAAGAAGACTAGACAATACGGGAATAGTAGGTATTGAATTGCTCTAGCAGATGATGCACTTGAGGATGAATTAGTTAACCATACTGGTAGTTTTATAGGTGGATATGATGATTTTGAAACTTGAACTAACTTATGTATTGTATGTTCTGAGTAAGGTTAGATGGATTGATATAGGAAACTCAGATCAGAAGGTTTAATTGGTTAATTCAAGTAATAGTGAATTACAGGTATTGCATCTAGTGTAGCACCTAGCATATAGATAGAATACTTAATTAGACATCCAAAAGGTACAGATATAGTTAGAATATATTCTTGTCAGAATATACTTGTTTGGGGTCTCTTTGAAAAAGGTACTATATGATCCTAATATCTAATAAAAGCGATAAGCTGAAGAGGCTAACCTTAACTATAAAAAAAAAAAAAATTATTTAAATTACAAATCATTACTATTGTACAATAATTAAATTTAAGTTAATTTATATTAGCTTAGAGTGCTCTCAAGCGAATTTCTTAATATATAACTAGAAATGCACAAATAAAACTTCTATAACTTGCTATAACTATTACTATAACTTGTCGTAACTGTCTCTGTAATATTTAATAACTATCTGATAGTAAGTTATAACAATAGTTATAACAAGTTACAGAGTTTCACCTGCATCTCTACTAATGATCAAAATAACAATTATGCTATAAAGATCTAATTAGAGAGGGTCTTAAAAACATAGAAAATCTAGGAAAGATTGTGAATTTTTTATGTTATAGTAATTGTCATCTTTCACAACTCTTTGAAAATGGCTATAAGTAATGCTTATTAGATCATTTGATAAGTCTATTAATTAGTAACCAAAGAGATTATTCACCTATCAATACTTTTATTATACTCTATAATTCATATTTTATTTATATTAATTTAGTCAAATATTTAAATTTTTTTTTTGATTTTAAGGTAACCTTTTTGTCATACTGCTCTTTATTTGAATATTAGTAGTATTTTTAATTATCAGATATATTTTGATGGCTATACATATTTGTAGAGTACAACTAGCTATATCTGTGCTTTTTGAGCGCCTATTTAAGTATCTGCTTATTACTAAGTTTTATACTAGATACTGTATCTGCATCTCAACTAAGGTGTACCCATTTAAACCCTCTGCATCTATGTATCAACCCTTTTATATCCAAGTAATGATACTTAGTATTATCTTATTTTCACATACTGATTTAGGACTTTAAAGTAGTCTCTACTATTTTAAGAAGTTCTTTAACCTTAAGGTAAACTTGCTAAAGCCTTCTGTATTTAGATTTAGGCTAACCTAGACTTTGATAACTTATATCTAGTCTGAGAACAAATATTTGTGAGCCGAAGCCACTATCATTACCTACTTCTGCCTTTATAGAATTCACTCATACTTCAGCTCCAGTACTTATCCAATCAGAAACCCTTCTACTGTTTTACCAAAATTTCAATTCAGATAGCTCAGTTTGGTTTACAAGTTACATTATCCACTTTCCTACTGGTTTAATCTAGATACTGACCTGTGCTCTTTTCCTCCAGTCAATTTTGACAGCCTGGTTGGTATAGTGCTTGCCAAATGTTCAGATTCACAGCTTATTGATTCTCTTTTTAGACTTTTCAGAACCGATGAAAGTATGTACTACTTCTCTACTTAGGACTTGCCAAGTGGAATCTTCCCCAGAAACACTCTGATGATTTCACATTTATGTAATATTAATTAACGGTGGCTTATCAATTATGATACATATGTATATACATACATACATATGTATATATATATATACATTCATATATATATATTCAATGCACCATTCCAATTCAAAATAGAAATTTAATAATTAAATTATTAATAAAATTTCCTTTTTTAGATTAAAACAAATAAAACTTTTTTGTATAACAACAATAACGATAAAGATAAAACAATAATGGAAGCTTCAAGCTCAACTTATGTATCAACATTACATTGCTCAGAGTGCAATAATATATAATCTATTAGTGAATTTATTAGCCCTAGAGCAAAAAATACTATAAAACAATATCGAACTTGTGTTTACTGCTGTAATAAAACTACACAGCTAAAAAAAAGTAAAAAAAAAAACAACTTGAAGATGAGCTGAAAAAAAATTATATAAACAAAGATACTTTAGAAGAAGTAATTGATTTAAATAATTTTGAAGATTTTATCATTCAGATTGTCAACTTATATAAATTACAATCAGAAAGTAATCTAGAAAATATACTGCCATTTTATTTTGAATATAACATTGATATCTCAATTTTTAATAAATTTGCAAAGGAGGTAGTAACCGAATTGATAGAGTGTATTGAAAATGTCGATGAATTTAAATAGATTTATCATCAATCTTATATAAGAAAATATACTGTAACTTACTGATACCATTGCTCTCAACAGGATAATTTAGCTAATAAATCTAAGAAGCATCAAAGTATATTAAAACAGCATGATATATTAGCAATAGAACGTTTTAGCTGTGGTTGTATTATTAAAATAATTATTAATCAACAAATTAATATAGCAAAAATATATTTTTAATGTGACTTTTTATATACATAACCAAAAAATGCAACAACAATCCAAGATATTAAAGATTTCATTAAGGAAAATATAGATTTATTACCTGTAAAATATATTCGCAGCATATAAGTAAAGGTTTAAACATTTCTATCTGACAGAGTTAAGTTTACTTTTGGTAAGCATAATTAGATTAAGATAGATATAAACGTAATGAAAATACTTTTGAATCTGCTATTCAATGGCTTAAAATAAAATTGTAAAATTATTTTAGAAGTAACACATCCTGTTCGGGCAATAGCAGTTAAAACTGGATTGTATGAATTTTTTAAAACAATTAAGGTTGAAATATACGAATGTGGTATTGATGCCACTTATAATACCAATAATCTTAAATTTAAGTTATATAGCTTTTATGCAGAATTTAATAGTATGGAATTTGCCCTTGTATATTTATTTTTAGAAAACAATGAATATTGCAAAGATAGTATATAAACTACTTATATTCAAATGTTACTTACAAAAATGTATAATTTGGAAATACATTCACAATTTTTTCTCATTGATAAAGACTTTTCCCAGATTAATACTGCATATTTACTTGGGAAGGCATTAAAGTTCAACTCTGTAGATGGCATTTAAAAAGAGCAGCTATAACTCGATTAGCAAGTTCTAAACGTTTAAGAAATTCTTATAATACTTTATCTGATTTTAGTTATCAATTTTCATTTAATACTATTACATTATCACAAGAATTTTGCTCAAAAAAATACTAAGAAACTATATATAGTGTCATTTTTATTAGCACCCCCTAATACCAACTATAAATAGGCAATTTTAACAAATACAGAAATATAGGATGTAGCTGTTCAAGAAATGTATGAATTCTGCAAAAAATATTCACTAATTTTATTATGGAGTTATTTGTAGAGTAGTAGTATACTGAAAAAAGATAGATATTATGGGCACAGTTATCTTATGCAGAAAAAATCCCAATTTTTACAACTATGATGTTTATTGAAGGCTATTGGAAGGTTATTAAATAAGATTTTCTATATAAATTCTTTATATCACATCTGGATTATATATGCTGATAAAATTATTTTAGGTTTCAGGGTACAAAATTAAAATTTGAAGATGAAATTGTTTTTAACCTATTTTACTTAAAAGATAAAATTTTTTGACACTTTTTTGAAAAGACGAAATTATAAGGAATATAACTACTTAAATTAGATTTGCTCTTGCATATAAAAAATTTCAAATTACTCTAATAGAGACGAAATAGGAGTTTTTGAAAACCTATTTTGATAGCATGAATAGTCTGGATTATACATGTCACCGAAATAGGTTTTCAAAAAATTACTATTTCGTCTCTATTAGAGCAATTTGGAATTTTTTATATGAATAGCAAATCTAATTTAGGTAGTTATATTTCTTATAATTTCGTCTCTTCAAAAAAAGTGTCAAAAAATTTCATCTTTTAAATAAAATAAGTCAAAAACAATTTCATCTTCAAATTTTAATTTCGTACCCTGAAACCTAAAATAATTTTGTCGCATGTATAGTCTGGATCTAGTATTGTATATGCTAATTACAAAAGTAATAGTATATTAAATACATAAATTACAACAAATTTATTTAGGATGTGAAAAATCAGAATGGATCAAACAACTAAAATCAGAATAAAAAAAACTATCATTATATTCTATTAATAACTCATATATAACAAATATTAATAGATGGATCTGTGGTTGTAGTTATTATTTGACAAATAGATTCCATATTTGTAAACACCTTATTCAACAAAAAGGTTCTGTAATATGTGAATTTTTTAACCATTTAAAAAGAAATCACAATACACCATTTTTAATAGAAACAAATCAAGATTCTAGCACTATTAATATAATAAACACAATAGATTTATTTGATAATATTAAGAGTATAATACAGTATTTAAACGATTCAGAAGAGGAGGAGAATTATGTCAAAATTTATGATAAACTAATAACTACAATAACTAAAGCACTTAATATTCTTAAAGAACAAAAGATAGTCAATAATATTTGATGGGTTTAAAGCATTAAAAAAAACTTTAATTCAATTAACAAAATGGTGGATGAGATAGAGCAATACTGATAAAAAAGAATAATGCTTTTAATATAAAAAGACTATATATACAATACTCAATATTTAAATACACAGTAAATTGTGATAAGTTTAATACATTTATCTATTTATTATTTTATTTTTTTAAATTAAATTAATAATATATAATATTACTTTTTTGTATACTAGCTATTACAATTACAATTCAAAGGTTTGATATGTTAGATTTGATTTTATTAAACTAGAAGTATTAAACTTTAATAGTTTTTTAAATCAACTATTTATTTAGCAGATAAAATTGGGATTAATAAAATATTTGCAAATCCAGAATACAAACTTGTATTGATTTATTTGTCACTTAATTAATTTTATTATTCAACTTGCTTAATTGCTTTGAAATAATATAATATAGTTCAATATGTAGAATGCTATTAAACTTTGAAGGAATATTTGTGTTTAGTAATTATAACTTTGAAGAAATATTTGTGTTTAGTGATTATGCAAAGCTATATGAAGTTAACATAATAGCCCATTTAATAAAAGGAATTTTCTGACTTCGTTATTATCTCAAATATTAATATTTGAGTTTATGTATTGAATATGAGACAATTTAGATATTATTTTTTATAATTAGTTTTATACATATGTATATACATATATACATACAAGTACATTATTTTTTATTTGCAATTTGTACTACACTTACCACAATTGCTACACTAGTATCATATAAGTGTGAAATTGTCAAGGTGTTTCTGGAGAAGTTCTAAGCAGGTTTCTATTCAGAACTAGTCCATCAGATTTACACAGATTACAGGAACTTATTGTAGGTTTATACCACCTTTTATCAGTTTGTATCTTTTTTTGTAACTACTCTATTATATAAATACTCCATGATTTTTTAAGTTTGTATTACCGCCCTAATAGAGCTTGCAAATTAAATCATCTATTAGGCAATCATTACTCCTTGCATCTATTTGGTCCAACCATTGTTACAAGATCTATATACTAACACTCGAATAGTTACTATTATACAGAAGAATTCGATTTTTTGTCATCAGTAGGAATTGAACTTTGGATGTGCCACTTGGAGGATGACAACTTGACCACTTTACTAAGTCGTCACACCCAAATATTTAATTTTTAAATTAATGTAAAATAAATAAATAAATAAATACTAATACATTTAAAATAAATAAATAAATAAAAAATAATGTAACGTATATAAAGTATTAAATAGACAGAATATGCAAAATATTTTACTTATCCAATACTATAATTATTAATTGATTTGATTAGTTAATGCTGCAATAATCAATATAATTTAAATTTTCTAGAATTATTCGATTTACAATCTATTACTATAATAGATGCAATCAGCACTATCCAAATATGATATATTCCCTAACTGCATTAAATGCATTTTGATAAGCTTTATAACTTTTGTTACAAGCCTAAGAGTGATTTATTTAATAAAAAAAAAAAGTTTTAAATAGAAGCACTGCACATTTAGGCTTATAGTAAAATTTATATATAAAAAAAATATATTTGTTTAGGTGACTCAAGATTTGTTTATTAATACTTTAAGGTGTGTTAGCTAGTACATTTTTGAGATATAACCTTTTTTCTAGTAAAAATTTGCAATACTCTTAATTAAATATTTTATATATATAGCTACAAAGCTTAAAAAAATATTTTATAAAATTTTATTGATTTTTTTGTCTTTTTTTAAAAAAAATTTATTAAAAAGTAAATAATTTAACTTATCTTTTTAAAAAAATTAATATTGTAATTAGATTATTAATACTTTATTAAAATATAAATTGTTTACAGAAAGATAAAAACAAAACCTCACCTTAAAAAAAAAAAATAATAAAAAATAAATTGTCTACAGATAAATACTACCAACTAATATTATATCCAAACAACTTTATTTAATACATCAATTAGTTAGTGATTTTTTAATAGTAAAATTTGTTAAAGTCTGGTATTTGGAGCCAAATTAATTAGGTTTGGAAGCTCGGATTACACAAAAAAGCAAAATTTTTTGATCACTAACCTATTACCCAGTGTTAGTTTTTCAGTTAAAATTTACGTGCGAACACCGCACAATTTGAAAACTTTTCTGTGCGGCAAGTAAAGAAAAATTATTCACAAATGTGCGCACTACTTACAAAATGTTAATTTTTTCTGTGCTCAAAAGAAAATGTGCGCAAAATTTTGTTTGTGTGCCGCGCACAGTCCGCATAATCACTGCTACTACCTACTACGTAGATAAGGTCGTAATTACCCCCAATTTAAAAAAAAAATTTCATGATCGTACCACATTAGGGTAGTAACTCAACTAAATAAATCAAAACTATGTTAGCAATATAGTATTTTTACAATGATCAGATTTTTTTAGCAACGAAATTAAAATGATCGATTAAATATTATTTTACTTTATTTAATTAATAAGAAAAGCACAAAATTCTAAATGATTCACCTTGATATCGCGCTTCTCATTCTAATTTTTTTTAACTGAAAACTTTTCGCAAGGACTATATCTAAAAGGTTATGTTTGATTTTTGCGAAAATTCTAGTAAAACTTCAACTTGTATGTTTAAGATACAAAATTTTTCGCTCTAATTAATGAAATTTAGATGTTTTATAAGACGAATATTTAAATTTTATATATTAATAGAAAATTCTAAAACATAGCTTTATTCTCCTACATATAATAAACCTCTAGTAAAAATTTCTAGGTAATTCCTTGAGTTTTCAGCGAGCTGAATCATTTTAAAGTTGATTAATTTTTAATAAATATATTAGCAGTAATTAACGTTAAATTGATATCGATATGTTATATGGAGATTTTCATTCATGTAACATGAAAATCTAGTTTGCTCGGTTGAGTTACCACATGTCATTAGCCATGTGATAGAAGTAGCGGTTTTTCAGTTTTAATTGGTTTTTAATATTTGAAAACTAAAACCGGATTCAATGTCATAATGATTTTTAAATAGATTTTTGCATATCAATCTACCCATTTTTTATTTATAGCCGCTAAATATGTAATCATTTGGTCTAGCACTTACTTATAAATAAATGTTTTTCGTTTCGACCTTCATCAGATCCTGATTTTCTAGTATAGAATTAATTATTGTGGTTTGTAAAAAGAAATTATTTGAGTGTAATAATATAACTTACCGGACAAAACCCCTGAAAAATTTGATCAGCGATGTATAACGATAATATGCAATGGAGAACCATATGTGTTAAACGTGTATTTAGAGAGGTATTGCATTTAGGAAGGCTTTCATAGAGCATGCACTTAGGGGGAGGTTGCATTTAGAGGGGTTTCATTGTATGTCTCTAATCAAATTTTGGCTGCTCTCATTTCTAACTATATCGTGCGATATAGTTTAGTCGAAAAATTGAGCGACATTACAATAATTGATGCCTATATTTATAAAAAAAATTAGACTACCAGATACAGTCAACCAATAAATTAATTAATTAAAACATGTGACAACTAATTTAATTAATTTTAATGAAATGTTGGCCTAACTAATCATCGAGGTAAGAACGTTGATGTTATTACGACTGATTTTTCACACGGTGTGCAACGTATAAAAAATCAATTTTACAATACCGGATCATTCGGGTAGTACATGTTATGATTATAATCCAACACCATTTTTATTAGTAAAAATGGTGTTGGATTATAATCATAACATGTACTACCCGAATGATCCGGTATTGTAAAATTGATTTTTTATACGTTGCACACCGTGTGAAAAATCAGTCGTAATAACATCAACGTTCTTACCTGTAAACTAATCAATTAGAAGATTTTCGATTCGGATCACAATTCGATTTTTTAAGGTAAACAGACATCCATATCAAATAATACTAAAATTAATATGGTTAGCGCTTTTAAAAAAGATTTAATTACGTTTAATCGGCCAATCGGGTTTAAAGAACGCTATGCTCACTTGTTTAGCATATTCGAGAAAGCAATTGAAAGTATTCTAAGCTGAAATTCAACAAACAAAAATGGCACTACGCCAAGGAGAGACAATCTTTAGGGGATCCTTAGGGAGACATTATAACCGAAAACCATGTTTATATTTAGTATTATTCACCACAGTGTTTCTCCTAGTGATACAGATTCTAACGTATCTTGGTCCTCATGAGGAGACACTAGATGGTGCGATTCAAGATGTTGATATCATTTTGACTCCATCAGACCCTGATGAATATCCTGATTATCCAAATATATACCCTACTACTGGCGATTCCACCAAACAAAGACATTACAAATTACTTGTAGTAATAACTTCTCACATCGATGAAATGCGGACGAGAAAATTATTAAGAGAATATTTGTTTGGTATTAAAGATAATTTAAGACCATGTATGGAAAAAAATGGAGAAATATATTACAGATTTTTGATGAAGCCTTATCAACAAACTGATAAAAAAGTATTGAGAGATTTTACGGCGGAAGCTGTGGAATATGATGATATTGAGGAGTTTCCAAATCAATCGAATATGAATTGGCAAAAAACTGTTCTTACTTGGGTACGTGTACATGCACGTGTATTCTGGTTCGTTTTATTTATAGTTCTTATAACTGATTCATATTATTAAAGATCCAATCACTCGAGAAACAAGAAATCACGTTCGACTATGCAGTAATTATGGAAGACCAATCAATTATCAACCTTCGCAAACTTCTGTCTATTCTGGATTCATCCGTAATCAACACTCAAACCTTGACACCTAGACAGAAATCCAATTTAGTATGGGGTCGTTTCGATACCAATACGAATGACGAAATGTTTATAATTCTCGGCCAAGAGTCTATAACCACCTTACTTGATCTTAATTATTTCATAAAAGAAAATAATAATAATACGAAAAAAAAAAAGAATCTTCCTAAGCTCATAACTCAGGCGTATCAATATTTTATCGAACCAAAACATACTGATGAAAGCGATTTATTTTTCATAAACGACAATACTGAACTGATAGAATGGCCGAACGCCATCGAGAATGTTCCGAAAGAAACAACGATAGGAGTAGGGCACGTTTACTTAGAAAGTGAAAAAAGAAGCGTATTCACGCATTTGTCAATTTCTAAAATTCCAGCCTGTTACCCTGTTCCACGTAGGAATGACAAACTATCCATAGCGGTTGTAACAAGCAGTTTCGTGTATGATAACATGTGTATGTTTCCGGTAGCATACATTCTAGCAGAAAATAAACGCGATTATGCTAGGAGACATGGATATTCATTTGTTGGCCGCTCTGAAGAATTTGATCAACAAGCACATTACAAGCACCGACGTACCGTCTGGGGGAAGATTGATTCAATTGAAAAAATTTTACCACACTACGATTGGGTGTTTTGGCTGGATATGGACACTGTCATTGCAAATCAGTCTATTTCTGTCGAATGGTTGTTTGAGAAATTTACTGAAAGGGTTGGAGGAGAAGATAATTTTAGCAAGATTAATTTAGTGGTTGCAAGGCCTAAACAAGACTCTACTATAAATGCGGGAGTTTTTATGATTAGGAATTCAGAATGGAGTCGAAAATTTTTAAGAGCAACACAAGCACGAAGGGATCTTTATTTTAACAGACAGATGGAGCAACGTGCAATGTGGGAACTCTTAATTAGTCCGGATTATAAAGATGGGGTAAGTTAAAATGTATCAGAAACTCAGCGTCCGCCTTTCATAGTCAAATATTCAATATGTGGGCAATAATATGTTCATTATAATTTAATTCAGTCCACTCGTAATTTCAATCTGGTCAAAATGACTAAATAATTTAATTATATATTATTATTATTATTTATCATCATCATAATCACTAATTCTTTTATTATTCATTTACAGACACTTCTCCTTGATAGAGATGATCATACTTTCAATACATTCCCACATATGTACGTTCCGGGTGATTTTGTAGTTCATTGGGCACCGGATGACTGTCCCGTAAAACCCATCTTGGATGCTATTGGAAAGCTTAAGCAATACGAAATGAATAGAGAATTCAAGTTCACACTTAACCATGCCCCTGATCATTAATATTAAATGGGCATAAGCAGTGGTCGGTGACCTAAAAATATGTACATTTATTAGCATTGTTGATTTATTATTTTTTTTTATCAATCTTTTTTTCGAAAATAATCCATATTTGAACAATTATTTGTTTATACTCTTAATAAAAAAAATCAAAACATGTAATTATTATTTTAAAAATTACTAATAAAGATATAAGCAAGGCCTCAATACTAGAGTTGCAGACATTAGAATATCAATTAACATAGACTATAACGTCTGACGTGACGTATTAATGTGACGTATTATATGATTATATATAAATTTTATAGGATGACGTGAAAAAGTAGCTACCGTATATTACCGAATAGAAGCTACCCCCGAATAAAAGCTACCCCCTCGATTTTGGATTAAAAATTTGGAGGAAGTTATTATGTTTTAATAATAAAATTGGACCCGAATAGTAGCTACTCCCTCTTTTTAGTCCGAAAAAACTCTCAAAATTTTGGTAGCTTCTATTCGGTAATATACGGTACCTTAATGTCTGCAACTATACTCAATCCCAAAAAAAAAAAAAAAAAAAAAACATTTAAATCATTAAATGTTCATATTATGATTTATTACAATATGTAAATATTCTACAAATTAAAAATAGGTAATGCTTTTAATCTACAATGAACTAAAATATATTTCAAGCTACAAATTTTATATTTCATATATTGTTCCAGACATGCCCATGCAATTCATTAGTGCGACACTTAAATAGCGAGAACTGTTCATTTACATATTAACTAATAAATTTCAAACACACTAATTCTACTCTACAAGCCATTGTAACAATAGTAGTCATTTAGTAGGGCATATTACACCGTCCTGTGCGAGCGCACCACAAAGGTTGTAATGGTTCTGCATTTACACCCCTCTCGACCATTCTAAATCTCCAGTCAGTTAACCGTGCTAATGCATCTCTGTCTGGAGTTCGGATTTTTTTAGAAGTGTCATAAGGTCCTGACCATAATACTTCAGCAGCTGCAGATGAACGTGGCCATAAGAGAACCTCTAAATTTGTCCGATCAGCTTGTTCTGACCATAATAGGACCTCACCTAAATTATCGAAAAGATTAGTTAATATATGAATAAATTTTAAAAATGTTATATCCGGCTTTCAAACAAAAATAATTTTGACCTCCTATAACTAATTCAGCTTCTTGATCGGTTAATCCATCAATTGGATTGTAAGAATATATCTTTTGCCAAGTTTTAAATGGATCGCACCTACAAATGAAATTATCAACATTATGGATTTGTAGTGTAAGGCTCAGTCTGTTTCTTTTTTTATGTTTTCACAAATATCAAACTCTCATAAAAATAAATTAGAAAAGTTTATTGAACATACCAACTATTACCATTGGTATTATTTCCGAGCCATCCACCGTGCCCGCAGTCTAAATACCAAAAATCACTACTCCCTGTAACGACTCTATATCCTTTACTTACAACATTCTTAACTACATCTTTATTAGTCCACACTTGAACCAAAGTATCATTTTTCAACGTCAGATTGTGATCAACGATCATTTCTTGCCACGTTATCGGCAATTTTCCTGAATTACGAACAATTTGGTGAGTTTCGTTAATGAATTTAGCGAGAAGTGTTTCAAGTGATGAATTCGGATTCTTATTTAGGTATTCAGTGATTGATGGAGTTGTATTCCAACAATGTAAGTTTACTTCGTCTCCACCAGCATGATAATATTTGTCGGTGAAGTAGGAAGTTAATTCAGGAAGAAGTATATGAAGGAAAGTATAAGTTTGATCCAATGCAGGATTTAATTGGCCGCTTGGTGGTTCGGCGGAGAACTAAAATAATAAATAAAGTTGTTAGAATAACCTAGATTGAGTCAGTTCAACAGATATTAACTAAAAACTGTAAAACATAAATAACTACATTACTCCAATTTGGTTGTACATCTATACAAGTCATTCTGTTTAAAAATATCAAATGTTAATTTAATCGCTTTAATAAACGGGACGTGCATTCATTGAATATCATACATTTCTGGCATGCTTTCTGCGATGGAATGTGTATGACCTGGCATGTCAAATTCCGGAATAATCCTAATTCCTCTCTTAATTCAATAAAGAAATAAAATCAATCAGAGACAAATATTCAATTTTATAAACGTGATTATACTCCTTCCACGTTTAATAAAGTTTAACAATATAGACATTGTCTTTAAGGGATAACATACCAAATATGCATACTCGATAACCTTCTTAATATCATCTTTAGTATAAACCATATTTATTGGATCATAAGACCCTTTATTACTCAACTCTGGAAATGATTCACTAACTACTGGCCAACTAGTAGCATCAACAATATGCCAATGAAACACATTAAATTTATTCCAGCTCATTACATCTAATGTCTTCAAAATGTCTTTCACAGGAAAATAATTTCTTGCAGTGTCCAATAACAAACCTCGATGAGAAAATCGGGGAAAATCTTTTATATGATGTGGAGCGAAAGGCAATAATAACTTAGAGTTTTTATAATAGTAAAGTTGAGAAAATGTGTTGAGGCCATGAAGGACACCAAATATGGTTTTAGCTTTAAGATGAGCCGTTATTGGATCATTGTCGATTTGCGATTCGGGAATTGTAAGCTCATATGATTCATCGACACCTAATTCTAATTCTGAAATATCAGTAGTAACTGAAATGATCAGAACACGTAGCAGGTTTGATTTGTCTATGCTTTTTGGAACGATAGGATTAACATTTGGTGAGGTAGTATAATTTTCGAATGTTATGAACTTTAGAAGGCGTTTTTTAGCAGATTCAAGGATTTTTTTTGTTTTGGTATTGAGTAAGGAACCAGTTTCAGGAGTTTGTTTTAGTGAAAAATCTGAAGAGATTAAGAGGGTTTTTGACCCTTTTTCCCAGTATTGAGGAAGAGGCCAGAGCGCATTTACACTTGATATAATATAAAACGATAATATGATAAATTTTAGGATCATTGTCTTATGAATCGATAAAAATCTAAATTCATAAGTTAGTGCTGTTAGCTAAAACCTGTAGATTTATATATTTTAAATTTAATGTATCGGACTTATAAAAAAATTTCGGATTTGAAAAATCTAGGTTTTTATTTGGCGGCAATCAGATATATGCAGTGTCACATACTAAAATGAACCTGCCATTTATTTCTTCCGACAATTGTTTCCCCAAGTCAGGGAAACGAAATATTTGAGAAGTATTGTGGAATGACGATTCGTGCAATCATTCTACACCACGGGAATGTCTTCTATACATGGTCGAGGGGATGTATTACATGAACATGAAGGATACAATATTATTCGTGCTACTATTGAGGTAAGGTACGTATTTTATATACAAATCTTAATTTACAGTACAAATCGGCAAATCACTATATATGGCGCTGGGTGCCTGACAATAAAAATAGTATAACTTTATAAAACGTAACAATTTTTTATAGAAAGCCATTTGAAAATTTTGCTTTTTAATAAATTTACGTAGCACATTTAAAATTGAACCATATGGGCTAGGTGCTGAGAAAAGGCAAATTTTACAAAATTTTTGAGCCTAATTTAAAATTAGTCTACGTAGAGACATTTTTCACTAAAGAACAAATGCTGTTATCTTAATAAAATTTTGCAGTATAATCCTTAAAGTTTTTATTTCTTATAATTTATTATAGGGTTAGGGTACATTTTAAGACCAAGACGGTTAGATATCATAGCCCGGATGTTAGATTACACAAGGTTTTCAGGGGTTCTGAACATTTTTATTTAGTACACCTGATCCCTGTTTTTTAGTCCCATTTTTGAGATACAACAGTACTGGTAGTGACTACCAGTCAGGCCTACCGAATAATTGATTGTGGGGGCAATTAATTGCAACTTTTTGAACTCAATTATCGCTGTTTGCATATTGATGATAAAATTTGTAGATCGCTGCATACCCCAATTGTTCGATTGTATGTGATTGTATGCGATTTCTCAGCAACCATCAGATCAAATTCGATGAATTTTTTTTAATTCGAATTTTAAGAATCTATAGAATCCAAATAAAAAAAAATTCATTAAATTTGATCAGATAGTTGCTGAGATATCTTCGTTCAAAGCTTTAGGAAAAGTTTGGCGCAGCTTCTATTTTTGATCGATATTTTAAAAAAACTTTGAGCGATGATATCTCAGCAACCATCTGAACAAATTCGATGAATTTTTTTCTATTTGAATTCTGTAGATTCTTAAATTCGAATAAAAAAATTTTCGTCGAATTTGATCAGACGGTTGCTGAGAAATCGCATACAATCACGTACAATCAAACAATCGTGGTATGCAGCGATCTACAAATTTTATCATGGGTTGCATTGATTGATGGCGCAGCCACAATGTGTCAATTAATTGCAATTTTAGGTGTGATGAATCATTTGCGTGACAAATAAGAATTCACTAGTGCAATTTATTATTAAACTGTATTTGTCACATACCATGATTCATCGCACCCAAGTGGCAAATGGCAATTATTGCGGTTTGCAAAATTATGTAAATTTGAAGATCATTAAAAAAAAGTAATCACAGATTTCCGATTACTGATTTCCGATTTCTTCAACATTTTGACCTTTAGATTAGACAAAATTTGTGCAATTATTTTGTAAAAATTTTATTATTTTTATGGAAATAAAAGGTGCGTATTCATCATTTTGTAATATATTTGCAGAAATAGGAGTTGTGAATTAAAATATTTTAAGTTTTACTAATAATAAATGCGCAAATTTTGTCAAGTATAAAGTCAAAAAAATGTTGATTACTTTTTTTTTAATGATCTTCAAATTTCACATTTTGCAAACCGCAATAATTGCAATTATTCGCAATTTAATATCACAATTGTAACTAAATTAATTGTAGTATAATTTAATTGCAATCAATTATTCGGCACCCTTGCTACCAGTGGTAGTAAATAGCAAATCTCAATTTATAATATAAAAATCAATTTTCCGCAGCCCACGTAATAATTATTTATTACTGTTTTCGAAATGGTTGAAATCGGAGGTAAAAAGTTTCGCGTATACCCGTATACTGGACTACCTAGGTACGCATTTACGTACATACATTGATCAAAGTGTAATTGTCAATCATACAATTGCCAACTATGAATATACAATAGTCAATTGCATATACATCATTGTCAATTCAAATCATATATTACGTACGTACCTAGGTAATCCAGTATACGAGTATACAAAGTATACATATGCGAAACTTTTTTTTATCTCCGATTTCAACCATTTCAAAAACAGTAATAAACGCATCAACTTTTTATACAGAAGGCCTTTCAAAAAAATATTTAGCAAATTTATAGAACTAATATGCTCTACAAAGTTACTGGTCAGTTTTTTGAAAACCCTTTTATATAAAAAGTTATAGTGATTTAAAAAATTGAAACTAGACCGTATGAGGGTCGAAGCCTTGTACCACGTGACGTTTTATATGTAGATCAACCAATCAAAATCATGAAATTTGTTTACGCGAATCAACAAAAAACGCAAACGACTGTCTTGGAACATGTCAGGAAGGCAATTTAACCTATACACCTTAACACTAAACTAACCCTGACCCTAATTATAATTAAAACATGAATGTTTAATTTCACGTGCGTATGTGCTAATATAAAAAAGTTACCATATTTTCGCGTAATAACGACCATGGGCTTATCGAATTTTGGCCCAAATTAAGCCTTGCTTTTTTTGGAATCTGGAGTTTCCCCAAGGACAAGTCGATTTTCTACTAAGTGAACTTTGCTTTTACTTCTAATAAAGTTGTAGCGAAGAGGAATCAGGTCATAATTGCAGTTAAATCGTTAATATCAATTCAGTGGATCGTAATATATGTGCATTCTAGTCTTCGCAACTACATGTTTACTTTTAGTAAACACATAGTCACGAAGACTAAAATGCACATATCTTGCGATCCATTGGACTGATTTTGATGATTTAACTGCTATTATGATCGAAATTCTCTCCTCTACATTTATTAGAGGAGAGGTTTACTTAGTAGAAATTTTATTTATTTATCTCTGGGGAAGCTCTAGGTTCAAAAAAGTCAAAACATACATAGTAAACATATCCCCAGGATTTGCTATGTTGCTTCTTACGCGGTATATTAGTAGGAACTTTTCATTTTATTTGGGCATGCTAACGTAAACATGAAAAAATAAATTACCATAGTACCCTCCCCGTAATTAGTACCCGGGAGGGTACTATTCAAGAAACTTGATGGTTGATTGAATAGTACCCGGGGTACTGTAGTCAGCGCCGTACGGCATATATTAAAATATATATATATATATATATAGTAAGTTATATATAATTTAACGTTCTAATTAAAATTATATATCTGATCATGCTTTATCTAATGAGCTAATAAAAATTTTTTATCAAAAAAGCAGATCTTGCTTTCTATTGAAAAAGTGCCCATAAAAAAGATGGTTACGTTGGATCGGGAAAATAATTAATTTTTAAATATAAAACTTATATTATATATGAGTGCGTGAGAGTGAAAACCTGGAAGTGGATTTTTATTGGCGAGTTTGACCCCTGATAATTGTATTATTACGTA